GTGGAGGCGGCTAGTAAAGGGTAAAGGGGGCTAAATACATGGTGACAGAAAATGATGACTGTGGACAGTAGGCACCCAATGCAAAATACAGATCACATACCACAGAAATGTACACTTGAAACCTGTCTAAATATAACCTTATTAACCAATGCCATCCCAAATTTAATTAAAAAATAAGTAGAAAAATCCAAGAACATAATTTACTATACTAACACGTTAAAAAAAATAGTATCATCTCAAAAGATGCAGATTTAATTGGTGTTTGAAAAATTATTTTTAAAAGATAAAAAAGACACATTCCATTATATCCATAGTCATTTTTATTAGACTATACCATCATAAAGCATACATGATGGACACGTCATATAAAGGACTCTATAAACAATACATAATGGTTATATAGCACTTGATCGTTTACAAATCACTTTGTACCCATTATCTGCCTAAACTAGCCACTCTAAAGTAGGCATCACACTTTCAAAAAACTATAAATGGAGAAACAGATTTAAAAGGGTCAAGTGATTTATCCCAAATCCCAATTATTTTCATTCTTTATTTTGTTGGTTCTCTGATGTCCTGTGTTATATATCAAGTTAAAAATGGCAGATATTTAAATATAGATAATATGTGATTTAGAAAACAAAAACCTGAATCCAATTCTCTAGTGTTTCCCATATGCTCTTGGAACAAATAAAAATGTTTAACTCCATAGTTTATGTTCTTAGTCCTATCTTTCCTTCCAAATTTGTAATCTACAATTAAAGATTGGCATTTCCACCATTTAAAAACTACAGTTTCTTCAAAGCTGAATGAAGCTTGCAGCCTGGTAGTTTCTACCTACCAACTTGGCAGTTTCTCTGGGTAACAAGTGAGCATTCCCTTTTGGTATTTAATCCTGACTGGTTACAAACAACCTAGGTATGCCACAACACCTGACACAAGCTGACATGTCACTTCAGGGTCAAAAGGAAGTATGTCATGGGAAAAGCAGAGGAGCACTCTTCCCTATTCCTCTAAGTATTGCTAAAACCCTGGACACAACAGATAAAATAATGTAAGAAGATTCTGGAAAGTGGAGGAGATAAAGGGAATCTGAAGAATGACATAGCCCTGAGTCTCCTGGGTTTTCCTTTTGCCTCATCTATCCCAGGATGGGTTCTGAGGAAGCTGGTAATCCAGAAATGCCACAGGCATAGACCAAAAAAGGTCCAAGAAAAGTCTGCTGTTTTGAGCCAAAGGACTAGCAAAGCAGCCTCTCAAGACAGAAAATTTTTAGACAGTAACCACCCTCCTCCAGCCAAAAGCCATAAGGAAAAACTTCAGCCCTATCCGTAACAACAAAGGCCGAGTGGGGTGCCTACACTTCCACCCTCACCAAGGGTGAGGGTGGAAGTATGGCCTCCATGGTGTCAGTGGAGGCCATGCCGGGGAAAGTAAGGAGGCACTGCTGCCCCTCCTGGCTGAATGGTATCAGCGCAGCCCTAGTGAGGAGCTGTAACTCTCACTCCTGCCCAGCAGTATTGAGGATCTCTGCCCAAATAGACACCAATGATGAAACTAGACTTCCAACACCAACTTACATTTCCTCCACTAGAGCAGTGTCAGAGGCCAGTCCAAACAGAAGATGCAAACAGTAAAGAGTCTCCTAATACCCAAAATGTCAAGATTTCAATTGAAAATCACTCATCACACCAAGAACCAGGAATATCTCAACTTGAATGATAAGATAGTCCACAAGTGCCAACACTTGGGATGACCAAGATGTTAGAATGATGTTAGACTGAAGCAGCCACAGTAAAGATCCCTCGCTAAGCAACTAGCAATATGCTTGCCACAAATTTAAAAACAGAAAATCTCAGTAAAAAAACAGAATGGAGAATCAGATGAGACTGAAAAGTATAGTAACAGAACCCAATGATGGGCTTGCCAGCAAAATGGAAGAAAAGGGGGGAAAAATCAGTGAACTTGGAGACAGAACAACAAAAAATACTGAGCCAGAGAGAATATTGCTATGGAAAATTGTGTCCCCTCAAATTCATAGGTTGAAGCCCTACCCCCCAATGTGACGGTATTGAGAGATGGGGCCTTAGAAGGTAATTAAGGTTAAAAGAGGTCATAACTGTGGGATCCTACTCTGACAGGGTTGGTATCCTCTAAGAGGCTCACTCTCCCTCTTTCTTTACACACATGTACTGAGGAAGGGCTGTGAGGACACAGCAAGAGGGAGACTGTAAGCCAGGAGAAGCTCTTACCAAAACCAACTCAGCTGGTACCTTGATCTCAGACTTTCAGCCTCCACTACTGTAAGAAATATGTTTCTGTTGTTTTAGACTCTCAGTCTGTGAAATGGCAGTCCAAGTCAGCTATGACAGATTTTGGTACTGCTAAGATGGATTTGGTGTGCTGCTATAACAAATAACTTGAACATGTGGAAGTAGCTTTGGAACTGGGTGATGGGTAGCAGCTGGAGGGGTTTTGAGGTACATGCTAGAAATACAAATGTAAAAGGCCATTCTGATGACGTCTCAGTCAGAAATGAGGACATGTTACTGGAAACAGAAAGAAAGGCGATCTTTGTTGTAAGGTGGCAGCGGACTTAGCCAGACTGTGTTGCACTGTTTTGTGGAAGGGAGAACTTGTGAGCAGTGAAACTGGATATTCATCAGAGATTTATAGGCAAAGTATTGAAGGTGCAGCTTGGGTCCTCCTCACTGTTTGTAGTAAAATGTGACAGAGGAGAGACGAATTGAAGAAAGAATTGTTAAGCAAAAAGGAAAAAGAACTTGGAGACTTGAAAAATCCTGTCTACCTATATTGAAAAATATGAGAAAGCTTGTTTAGCTGTTGCTGACTAGTCTTTTAATAAAGAGATCATTGGCATGACTCATGGATTCAATCAACCATGCCAGCAGAAGCCAGAAGTTGAGATGAAATACTGCCAACTGGTATCTGAGTGGCCAACTGGTAAAGTAGACTAGATGTTCAGAAAATGCTAGACAAAATGAAGGCAGGCTGTCAGACTTCTTTGGTTCTATAGGACCACCCAGGAGAACCACAAACATGCCCTACACTGCAAGACAAGGGGAGAAGATATAAATTCAGAGATCATCAGGTTGCCTCCTCAGTTTCAAAGGCAGGAGTAATGTCCCTGAAGTATCAACAGGCCACATGGCCTCAAACTAAAGTTTAGGGGGGCAGGGCTACCGAGCTGAGCCTTGGTGTTGGGACTGCTGTACCAGTGGGTTGTGAAGGTGGGGCCCCTGCTTCAGTAGGTCTGGAAGGTAAGGCATCAAGAGCTGATGGAATTTACCCTGGCTGGTGTGGCTCAGTGGATTGAATGCCATTCAATCCCTGGTCAGGGCACATGTCTGGGTCTCAGGCCAGGTCCCCAGTTGGGGGTGTGCAAGAGGCAACCTATCCCATGCCTGAGTTTCAGGGCAGATACCCAGCTGGCATGTGAGAGGCAACCAAGCAATGTTTCTCTCCTCTTTCTCCCTCCCTTTCCCTTTTTCTGAAAATACAAGTATTTTAAAAATGCAAAAAGATCTGACGGAATTTGTCCCACTGGGTTTTGGACTTGCTTAGGACCCATTACCCCTTCCTTCCTTCCTAGTCCTCCTTTTGGAATGGGAACATCTGTTCTCTGCCTGTCCCATCATTGTGTTTGGAAACAATTAACTTATCTTATGTGCTTCACAGATTCACAGCCGAAGAGGAATCTGACTCAGGATGAATTATACCTTGAATCTCACCCACATCTGATTTACATGAAACTGTGGGCTTTAGAGTTGATGAAGGAATAAGTTAAGACTTCAAGGGCTGTTGGGATGAAATGAACATATTTTGCATGTGAGGACATGAAATTTGAGGGCCGGGGAAAATGCCATGGACTGAATTGTGTCCCCACAAAATTCATATGTCAAAATGCTACTTCCAAATGTGACTCTATTTGAAGAAGAGTTTTTGGAGGTAATTAAGGTTAAATGGGGTCATAAGGCTAGGGTCCTAATCTGAGTGGCCTTTAAAGAAGAGGAAGAAAAAGCATGCTCTCTTTTTCCACATGTATGGATCATGGAAAGGCCATGTGAGGACACAGCAGGCAAGAAGCCAAGAAGAAATCTATCACCAGAGACTAAAGTCAACACCTGGATCTTGGACTTCCAGGCTCCATAACAGTGGGAAATAAAATTCTGTTGTTTGAACTGCCCAGGCATTGGCATTTTGTTATGGCAGTCTGAGCGGATTAAGATAAAAATATACTGAAAGACAATGAACAGAGCCTCAGGAACCTGTGGGATTGCAAGCAAAGACCCAGCATTTGTATCAGTGTCTTGGAAGGAGACATGGGGTGGGAGTTGGGGCTGGAAATGTATTCAAAGAAATGATGGCTGACCCTGGCTGAGTAGCTCAGTTAGTTAGAGTGTCTTCCCAATATAACAAGCTGCAGGTTCAGTCTCCAGTGAGGGCACATACAAGAATCAACCAATGAATATATAAATAAGTGGATCAACAACCAATGCTTCTCTCTTTCCCTTTCTCTCTAAAATCAATCAAAACATTTTTTTAAAAGAAATGATGTCTGAAAATGTCCCCAATCAGGCAAAAGACATAAACCTACAGATTCAAGCTCAGCAAACAGGATAAACTCAAAGAAATACACATACATACACATAAGGTCAAACATGCAAACTACAAACATTCAAAATGTTTCCAATAATAACCTTCAAAGTTTTAATAAGAAAATATATATATATATATATCATGTCATCTGCCTCTACCCAAGAATAAAATGGTGAAAGGCAAGTATTTCAAAGACTTCAAATTTTCACAAGCTAATATGCAGTGACAGTTCAGGCCTACAACTAAATTTTACCACGGTATGAGAAAGTCTAAAGTACAAACTACATACAATGAAGGTAAATCTTCATAAATAAGCACACTATCAGGTAACTCAGTTAACTTAAAACAGGCCAAAAACATCAAAGGTCCCTCTATACTCCCTTTTTCTAGGCTACAGATCTGACCCTGGGAGTTAACGTGATTCTCAGTAGATGTCTCAATAAGCAAGGTCTAAAAGACATAAAGTGCAGGCACGAACTGCCAGGCCAGCATTCTCTGGCTTCAGGAGAAGCTACCTTCATGGGAACTTTCCAACTTACTAACTCACATGTCTCATTTTTTCCTGGGTGCGAGTAATCTTCTGAATAGCTATCTCAGTAAAAAATTTTCTGCTCAGGAATTGTTGCTTGAAATAAGTACTCCATTATTACTCACACCCAGGAAAAATTTTACAGTTTTTATCCAGTATGAATTCTCTTTTGCTGACCAAAGGCTCAATGTTCAGTAAAGGTTTGTCCATATTCCTTGGTTTTCCCTCCAGCATGAGTTTTCTGATGTTGAGAAAGGGATGAACTCTGGCTGAAGGCTTTTCCACATTCCTTACACTTATAAGGTTTTTCTCCGGTATGAGTTTTCTGGTGCTTTGTGAGAGATGAGCTCTGGCTGAAGGCTTTCCCACAGTCATTACACTTGTAAGGTTTTTCTCCAGTGTGTGTCCTCTGATGACGGATAAGAGCTGAGCGGTCACTGAAGGCTTTGGCACAATCGTTGCATTTATAGGGTTTCTCCCCCGTGTGAGTTCTCTGATGTTGAGTGAGGGCTGAACAGTAGCCAAAGGCTTTCCCACATTCACTACACTCATAAGGTCTCTCCCCAGTATGAGTTCTCTGGTGCTGGATGAGGCCTGAACGATCACTAAAAGCTTTCCCACATTCATTACACTTATAGGGTTTCTCCCCAGTGTGAATGACCTGATGCTGGGTAAGAAATGTACTTTGGCTGAAGGCCTTCCCACATTCATTGCACTCGTAAGGTTTCTCTCCAGTGTGAATTCGCTGATGTTGAGTGAGGTATGAGCTCTGATTAAAGGCCTTCCCACATTCATTGCACTCATAGGGTTTCTCTCCAGTGTGAATTATGTGATGCCGAATAAGGGCTGAGCGGTGACTAAAGGCTTTCCCACATTCATGACATTTGTAGGGCTTCTCTCCGGTATGAATTCTCTGGTGGAGAGTAAGGTGTATGCTCTGGCTAAAGGCTTTACCACACTCACTACATTCGTAGGGTTTTTCTCCTGTGTGAATTCTCTGATGCAAGACAAAAGCTGAGTAGTAACTAAAGGCTTTCTCACATTCGTTACACTTCCAGGGTTTCTTTCCTGCACAAATTCTCTCATGCCTCATGAGATCTGAATTTTGCTTTAGGTTCTTTTTAAACGAATCACAATTACGTAGTTTTTTTCCTTGCTGTTGAACAAGTAATGACCTCCGACCAAAATTTCTTCCAAATTCACTACATTGGTAATGTCTTTCCCCAGATTTCTTCTGAGTGACAACTTCTTGTATTAAATGTTTCTCATGGTTTTCCTGCTGACTCTCTAAAGAATCCTCACATCCACTGTCATCTTCCTTTGTAACTCTTTCTATTAACACACCAGGAGTTGACTCCTCTTCAGAAACATCCTGCTCTGGAGTTAGCTCCTTGCTTTCTGGTGTTGTCTCCCAGTCTAACAGAAACAAAAAGGCACATGTATCATTTCCTACACTGAGAGTGAAATAATTACTGTGGTAGGAAAATAATAAAACAGGCAAAAGTGCTACAGGGAACACATGAATTCGAAAGCTCTTGAAAATAGCCTTGCCATCTTGAGAGAATGCAAGGAAAGAAAGATGACTGGGCAAAGAAGTACAGCTGCAAATGGAGAGGTTGAGTAGGCACTCCCTATTCCTCTATCCAGTGGGTAGGAAACAAGAAATAATAAAAAAAAATAAAGCTAAGCACAGGTGATAAAAAACAGAGTGTGGGAAAACAGGGCTGGATCAGAGGAAGATGGTTTCCCAGAGACCACTCACTGGCCACCATCACACTTTGAAAGATGTGGATTTGACCCAATTGCTTCTGTCAGGCTGAATTAGTGCAAGAGTCTTCCAGCTGATTATACTTTCTATAGTCTAATCTTGTCTAATTGAGGCAGCAGAATCCTGCTGAATTCCCACAGTGAGTTTCTTACTCTGCTAGTTCTGTATTTCTCTACCTTCTTTTAAGGCCTTTGATAGTCTACCTGCCTAACCATTTTACCTTCTCTATTCTCGAACTTGAACCCTTAACACTTTGTGTCTCAAGAAGAACCATCATTGGCTGATCCCCTTTCACCAGTCTTTTCCCATTCCAAAATATCCCACTCAACCCTAACAGACTAACATTACCAAACTATCCCTCTTACACAAAAATCTCTGTGGGTTCCACTGTCCTCAGATGAGATGCATATTCTAGAAACTAGCATTCAAAGTGGTCAAGATCTGTAAATTCAAGTAATCACAAAGCTTACTAATTTAGGAGCAACTGGTCATCTCTGATTGTCTCACAACCAACAAACTGCAAAGAGTAAAACAAAACCAAGTTTAAAAAAAAATGAATAGCATGTAGAGAGGGGAAGGTCAAATCCCCATGTGCTCACATTGGTCCCCAACCTGTCAGAATATCTGCCCCCAAAATCCTAGTCTTCCTAGTAAGAGTTTGAGGGGAAAGCTTCATTGCTAAAAATGTTTACACTATTTCCAGGTTTAAACAGTCTTTAATATCCATACCAACCATGATGGTACATAAAATAAACCAACATGATCCAATGTTCTTAACTACATATTCTAATTTGGGAAGTACCTAGGATTTTAAAGAACAAATAGGCAGAAATAGGTTAATGGTAAGTGGACTTTCAAGTAAAAGGAGTTGGAAGAATTAAAGCCCCAAGTGTGCATGGAGAACAGTTAGTAGGGAGAGTAAGACAGTTGCCTGTCTGGTGTTAAGGGTTCAAGCTGGAGAATAGAGAAGGTAAAATGGTTAGGCAGGAAGACTTTGAAAGTCCTTAAAAAAGGGTAGAGAAATACAGAACTGGCAGAGTACGAAATTCACTGTGGGGAAGTCAGCAGGATTCCACTGCCTCAATTGATTAGACTAAAGAAAGTATAATCAGCTAAGAGTCTATTACAGTAATTCAGCCTGACAGAAGCAACAGGGTCAAATCCACATTTTTTAAAAAAAGTTACCAGGATTTAATCAACAATAATCATTTGCTTGGCATATAGTCAGTTACTGTTCTAAGCATTTGTCTTGGATTTTTTCATTTGATCCTCACAACAACCATATGGGTTAAGTGCTATCATTATCCTCATTTATAGTTGGGGAATTTGAGTCACAGAGAAGATAATTCACTTGTTAAAGGTCACAGAGCTAGTGAGTAACTGAGATTGGCTTTGGACCTAGGAAGACTGGGTCTAAAGTTGCACTCCTAACCATATGCTATGCTGCCTCTGCTTAGAGAGAGAAGGCGGCAAGGGAAAAGTCAGAGATCAATTTATAGTCATTGCTGTCAGACAAAAAGTCACATTATTCTGCAGAGATAAAATAACATACATGAAAAAGCCTGGTTTAGAGCCTTGTATCCAGGAAAATTGTTAATATACATTAAAATGCTGATTTCATTTCACCATATGGGGAAAAAGAATTAGTTTGAAGGAGGGGAAAGTATTTACTTTCTAAAAACTACAATTATGAATTTATAGCAGATCATCATCCACACAGGGTAAGTGTGGCATGGAAGAAAGGGACTTCAACTTTTCCATGGACCTAGCAAAATCCGGAAAGGCTCCTGCACAAGTATTTCAAAGATGCTTTTCCCACTGACCATCTAGGTTTTAGGTTCCCTGTTTCCAACACTCACTTACCTGGACTAGTGGCTTTTGAGGCTTCTCTTTCCAGCTTCTCCTCACACCCCATCTGAGAGATTACATCAGGCTTAGAAATCGGAAGCCCTGTTCATGGGGAAAGAAAAAGAAACCTGGTAAAAAGCCCAGGGTTAGCTCTTTGGTTGTTAGGAAAGACAGTATAAAAGAGGGGTAGGTTCTGGATTTCTCCCTCAGCAGTACTCAGGAAAAAGGCAGAAAGGTTGATACAAGGTCTATTTGAATTCAGTACAATTGAGTCACTTGTTTTACCATTCTCTATTAAAAGAATAAGCACCTATTTCTTAAGAGGTCTTTTCACTAGAACTTCATCTCAATATCCCCAGTCAGGGAGTAGGAAAAAAGTCTGCTACTATCTGGGCAGATGTAATAAAAAGGAGTTCATTTCTAACTCTAGGAGTGTTAAAACTACATCCAGACACAAAAAACAGAAATCACACATTTTGGGCCTTTCAGGAATTAAGACTATTTGAATCTAAGACTCTCAGAGCTCCTAGGCACTGAGGAAGCAAATTACCACACTGAGTAAATTCATAGGGGGATGAGGAGCCATCCTTACCCAGCAAGACCAGGTTCCTATGCTTCTCAGGCACATCTCCCTGAGCAGGGTTTAGCGGCCCCCACTGGGTGAGAGCCTCGGCCATATCCCTGATCATCAGTGACTCCTGAAAAACCAAACACATCTGTGCTCACCAACAGACCTCCTTACAGAGGCCTCCAGGAAGGACTCGAACTGACAGCATAGAAGGAAGACAAGGAAGGGCCGGAAGGTTAGACAAAATAACCTCTAATAGGCTTTCCAATACTAAGATTCTCTGGTGAATAGCAGTCACCCCTTATCCATGCAGGACATGTTTCAAGATCCCCAGCAGATGCCTGAAACTGCAGACTGTAGAAAATCCTGTATATACTATGTTTTTTCCTATACACACATATTTTCCACTTAAAAGAAGCACTTAACAGCTTGTCTTTGGCATGTCTGAATTGCCACCATCAATACTCTTGTGCTTTGGGACCATTATTAAGTAAATTAAGGGTGACTGTGATACAAGCACTGCGATACTGTGATAGTCGATTTGATACCGAGACAGCTCCTAAGTGACTAACCGGTGGGTAGTGTAAACAGCAGGGCGCTACTGGAAAAAGGGATGATTCACATCCTAGGCAGGATGGAGCAGAACAGCACAAGATTTCATCATGCTACTCAGAAGAGGGCACAATTTAAAGCTCATGAATTATTTCTGGAATTTTTCATTTAATATTTTTGGACCATGGTTGACTGCAGGTAGTTGAAACTGCAGAATGAAAATGTAGATAAAGGGAGACGGCTGTGTTTGTAGCCACTAGCTTCTTGCCTCCACGCGTTAGGACTACACGTTACCTGCAAATAGGAAGGAAAGGACCTTTGAGGTAAAATCTGAAGGTACAATACTAAGTTATTAGTGTATGTATCAGTAGATTAAATTACAGAACTATAGAAAGCCTTACTATAAGGGGGACTCCCCCCAAAAAACAGAATTATCTCCTGGAGGTCAGGCCCCTTATAGTTCAGGCTTTCCTTGCTAGGTGAGTGTTCTAGGAAACCACCTGTATCAGTGTACCAGCTGGTGGTGTTGTCAGAGGCTCCGTTCAGCTTCAATGAATTTTTTTTTGAAGACACTTTCAACACATTTGCCCATTTCATGATGGGTGATTTATCAGTGTACCTGCCCACATCACGCTGGGTATTCCGCAGTTTTTGACCAAAAACAGCATGACCCCCATGCCCCACCCTCCCTATTCACCTGATCTCGCCCCTGAGTGACTATTTCTGTTTGTTTCCCCAGGTGAAAAAGGCCTCAGAGGGAACCATTTTGCTGATGTGGAAGAGCTGAAAAAATGGCAGAAGCACTAAAAGGTATTAAAATCAACAAGTTCAAAACTGTTTTGAGATGTGGAAAAAATGTCTTGATAGGTGTATTGCATCCAATGGAGAGTACTTTGAAGGTGACCGAATTTTAAATATGTAAGAATAAATACACTATTTTTATAAATAAATTCTGGGGTTTTTTGGGTCCCCCCTCATATTTAGACATGGGAAAGTGAAGAAAATATAATTATGAATGAGGTATTTTCCTTATGGTATAGTTTTAAAATCCAAAGGTTCAAGAAATATGAAATATCTCTCTCTCTAATTTTCCTTTGAGAATAAAATCAGTCCAATAAATATTAAACATTAAGATGTTTGCTACACACATCACAGAAACAGATTTATTTGTAAAACAGTATTATTAAAAAAGTTCTCAAAGTATTCTTGCTATTTCTCACAGAGGCCCCGATGGCTCTGATTCCCTCCTGCCTCGCCATCTGCCCTCAACCCCATCATACTCCTCCTACAGCCTCTGTGATACAATTGGTGGCCACCTTTCAGCTGCCTGAAGTGTGTGCTGTACTCCTTTTGGCCCTTTTCCACATGCTGCTTCCTGTTCCTGACTGCTCCCCCGCTGCACATCCTTCAGCTTTTTAGATCCCACTCACACTCCAGGCCTCAGCGCAGGTGTTACCTCCTCAGGGAAGCCTTCCCTGACTCTCTGGATTGTGCAGTAGCACGTTCCTTCCCTTGTCTCAGATCATGCACACATTGAGGGGCCTTTCTGATTAACATCTCTCTGTCCCATGCATGATAAGCTCCATAAAAGTAGTCAGGTCTGTTTTTCCTCACTGAAGTAGCCCTAGTACCTGGCACACAGCAGGAACCCTGTAAGTATTTGTGAGATAGTTGAAGGAAGGAAGGAACACTTGAACAAGAATTAGTAGAGCCCTGACTGATGTGGCTCAGTTGGTTGGGTGTTGTCCCACAAAGTGAAAGGTCGCTGGCTTGATTCCTGGTCAAAGCACATGCCTGGGTCGCAGTTTCCATCCTGGATGAGAGGCAATCAATTGATGATTCTCTCTCACATCAATGTTTCTCTCCCTCTCTTTCTCCTTCCCTTCTCCTCTCACTAAAAATAAATAAATAACATCTTAAAAAAAAAAGAATTAGTAGAAACAACTTTTCACATGGGGCGTTCAACAAAAGTGCTCATGGGAACAGAAATGTGGAGAGGAACAGAAGTGTATCAAATACTGAAAACATTGGAGGAATCTTTACTGTAGCCTAACCCTGATCTAGACAATAGGCACAAACTTTAGACTGTCTACCAAGATGTGGGCGAGGGAGCAGGATAGGTAATGCTCATTTGAATCTATAGCTGAGTTTGCTTATCGTTGAGAAGAGAAATGTCTAATAATTTTTCTAATTCTGTAAAAAAATTTCTATATAACTTTGACTTAAATGAGACACATTAACATAGGGGATGCTAGCAAATGGACTGGTCTTAGCCCTTTTAGAACCACCGCTGTTGCCACAGACCCATTGAATATATGTACAAATATAATGGTTAACTTTGCATATATGCAGTATATTAATGTTTATGATACAGGTCTTCAAGAAAACTGGTAAAGCAATTCACATAATAAGGTAAAAAAACTACCTACTTTGAAATCTCCTGCTCAAAATAATTTATTATTCTAATATTTGAAAGTATGAAATCACTACTCTCTTTATTTTAGTTTATAGTCCCTTGAACAACATGGGGGTTCAGGGGCGCCAACCTCCCACTCTGCACAGTTGAAAATCCACCTATAACTTTTGACTTCACAAAAACTTAACTACAATAGCCTACCCCTGACCAGAAGGCCTACCAATAACATAAACAATCAATTAACACATTTTTTTCCTGTTCCATGTATTGGGTTGGCCAAAAAGTCGAAAACAATTTTGTTTAATTGTATTGTGACAGCTGTCCTATCAGTGTGCACTTAAAAAAAAAAAATCTAAATTGGTGACTTTTTGTGCAGCCATTTTAATATTGAAGATGGAAGAAAACATGCAACATTTTCAGCATATTATGCTATATTATTTCAAGAAAGGTAAAAATGCAACTGAAACAAAAAAGGATTTGTGCAGTGTATAGAGAAGGCACTGTGACTGATCAAAGGTGTCGAAAGTGGTTTGCGAAGTTTCTTGGTACTACTGACATTTTGGCCAAATAATTCTTTGCTGGGGGGCTGTCTTATGCAGTGGAAGGTATTTAGCTTCAACCCTGGTCTCTACCCACTAGAAGCCAATAGAGGGAGACAGCCAACATACTCAATATATACAATTCAATAGAGTTATTCGGTGAAAATAAAAAAATGTGTCTTTTATTTTACAGAAAAAACTAAACAGGCTTTTTAGCCAATCCAATATGACATACCATGTTCTTACAATAAGTAAGCTAAAGAAAATGTTAAAATCCTAAGGAAAATAAATGTGTAGTACTTATTGAAAAAAACTGACATATAAGTGGACTTGTGCAATTCAAATTGTGTTGCTCAAGGGGCAACTGTACTTTATAGTCTTCTTTCTTTACAACGTTCACAATACAGAAGAGCTGGCAGTTCCTTTCAGACTTTAGTTCCCTGAGAAAACCTCAGTAATCAAACTCATTTATGGAGCTACTGCTCGGTGTGCATATGCTACAGTGAGGGGCATTAGCAGACTAAGTAGACACTGTCTAGCCGATGCCACAACTTTCTCTCCCTGCTTCCTTCTAAAGGGGAAATACAGATTCACATATCAGAACCAGTACTGGCATTTTCTCCCAGCGTTTCGCATGAAGCATCAGCACCTGTGTGGTTATGGGTTAAAGAGGCTAAAAGGAGCTCCCGTGCCTTTACCATAGGGTCTGCCATTCACTCGGTGTCCTATGCCAGACCCTAGAGCATTCTGACCCATTTTCCTTCTCCAGTCAGTTGTGGCATGTTTTATCTTGCTGGGCCTCTAAAAATTTTAAGGGCTGTATTTGCCTTTGGAATAAGATCCAAAGTAGATCTTCCTGTGGTTTGTCTGGCTTCAACATATCCCAGCTTTCCTCACCACACTCGAACTCACTCTACAGTGACACGCATACCCCTTTGAAGACCCCCAAGTCTCTCATCACTTGGAGACTTTTTTTTGCTGAAGAAGTTTCTCTTGGAATATTCCTGTATTCTATTCTCCAACTCCCTGCTCTCTTGTTTTTCAAAGTGCACCTTTTATCCCAATATTTTTAAAATATTTTATTTTTATTTAAGAGAGAGGGGAAGGGAGGGAAAAAAACATCTATGTGCAAGAGAAACACAATCAGTTGCCTCTCTCACACTCCCAGTTGGGAACCTGGCCTGAAACCCAAACATGTGCCCTGAACAAGAATGAAACCAGCATGAAACCAGCAATCTTTTGATTTGCAGGCCTGGGCACACTCCCCTGAGCAGCACTGGCTGGGGCCCCAGTCCTCCCCCCTCCCAACCAAATATAGCTTCTAGAGGATGAAAAACCTTTCTGTGGCCTATTGTCTGTACCAGTCATTTTTGCATTTAAAAAAATATATATTTCTTCTTGCTGTTGAACTATTTTACTTACCTACATCTCACCTCCTCAGTAAACTTCATGAGACAGGAGCAACTGACTTTCATTTGCCTCTCACCATAAGGCCAATTACACTACTGCAGAGCTACTAAGTGCATTAAGTGGGAAGGGAATAAGTAATGTCAAGAGGGAAAGTTCTGCCCAAGTGAGGAACATTTTTCATTAAGTTCATCACTTGTCAGTTTATCAGGGTGAACACAGTGTTCTAGGACTCAGGGCTGAGCAATTCCCTAACAATACTGGAAACCATATCCATGCTCTGAGAAGAAGAAAAAGAAGAAAAAAGAAAAGGAATCTAGACCCACCTGGGGTACAGGGGTGAGCAGCACAGTGGTCACACTATTTTCTTCTGGGTTTCCAGTGTGGGGGAGGTCTGAGTCCTCAGAAAATGACCCTAGAACTGGAGATGGGAACCATAGTGATTACTTCTGCCTTGCAGTGAACTCCCAGAAACTGCCATACGCAGCTACTTGTCACCTAAGAAGACTCAACTCAGAGAACCAAGGGTCAATCTCACAACGTCTGTGGATCAAGAGAGCCATGACCACGCTTGTCTCAGGTTACTTCTATCTTCCTCTGCCCTTAAACTCCAATAGAACTCCGCTATGAGAATCTGGACGCATAAGTTAAATACATATTTCTATCTGTCATCTGCTGAGTGATGGTCAAAATAATCAAAGAATCTGTGTCAATCTGTGTTTCACTTAATGATTCACTCTTATTCTATTCCAGGCTCACTGGAAGAAGGAAGACTAAATTCTGTTTGAACACTAGTTTTTCATTTAGAATATTGGCTTTCGCAGAAAAGCGATGGGTCTTACGGAGAAACCTCCAGGATTCTAAACAAATCCTGTGACTTCTCAAATTCTCACTTCCCATCTGCCAAATGGGTCTAACAGTCTCCTTCCTACCCCCTTAGGGGTTCCTGTAAGGACAAGAGGAAGTCATTCTAAAAAGTCCAATTGTCAGCTCTGTTGATTTAGGGGGCAACCGAGGCATGCATCACCGTGCACCCTACGGGCCAGCAGGCAATGCAGGTAGCGCCTCTGCAAAAAAGGGCTCTCCCAGAGAGTACGGATGCTACCTGTTCCTGAGCTGGCCCCAGCCGGAGGGCAGCCTTTCTCCTTTCATCTCTCCGGCAGGCTCCGCTCCTCTTTACTCCGAAATTCTCACCTCTGCCCCCAGGCCCAATGGCGACTCCCTCCCCTGGCCGCGCAGGAGACCCTGCCGCGGGACCAGAGGCTCACTGTTCTGTCCACCCAGAGGCCTGGGGACGCGCGCGACCCTCGCCGGATGGCCTGGCACCCACCCGGGGGCCTGCCTGCCGCCCTCCCTCCAGCCACTCAGGCTTAGAAAGGCCTGCACTCAGCCCTCCTCGCCCCCAAGCTGGACCTCACGCGGGACTCGAGGAAGCCGGGGCGGCGACAGAGGAACGTAGGAGCCTTGGGATCTAAGACGCGCCGGCCGAAAACAAGGTCAAACTACAACTCCCAGAACCTTCCGCGCGGCAAGGCGCGTCACCGGACGCCAGATCCCACGGGATGCCTCTGCACTCCTGTCAGGCAACCTTCGCAGTTTGGGCTGTATCTCCTGTTACCCCCTGCGCTGATACCAGAGCCCGGGAGGGCTCGGCCGCTCGGGAAGCATTTTGTGGGTGCTCTTCCTCGAGGCCGCCTCTGGGCTCTGGCCCCGAAAGATGCCTTCGGCCGCGCCAAACCGTGCCTCTCAGGGACCCTTCACTCCCTGCAACTGGACCCCGCGGAGGGGGTCCCGCACCCACAGGATTATTTCCTGGTTCTGAGGGGAGGCGCCCCCCCCCGGGATTTTATTCCAGGCTGCACCTCGGAATAAGAAGTAGGATCTCAACCCAGAAAGAGCCAGGTCCCCAGTAGTCCCGCTGACCTCAGGGAGACTGGAATCTGCAAGTCCTCCAGACTCCCCCACGAGCTCTAGGAGCTGCGGGTGCATGCGTTTGCTTATCACCCCGTTATGAAGTAACCAATTTTCCATCCATTTCAAATCCCAAGGAAAAATCAACTCAGCCAGACTGTCCGTGTTTCAGTATAAGCCACAATGTCCGTTTGTTCTTTCTCTATAATAAAGTCCCCACTTTTAGCTAGGTCTCAGGCTTCTCAGAAAAGATTTCATTTCTCATCACCCCTGCCTCTTGCCAGAGGGATGAAAGTGATTCTTTTTAAAAAGATTTTATTTATTTATTTTTAGACGAAGGGAGGTAGGAAGAGAGGGAAAGGAACACCAATGTGTGGGTTGTGTCTTGTACGCCTCCCCAGCTGGGGACCTGGCCCACAACCCAGGCATGTGCCCTCACTGGAAATCCAACCAGCGACCCTTTGGTTTACAGGCCGGCACTCAGTCTACTGAGCCACACCAGCCAGGGTATGAGTCTTAAAATGAACAGGAAATCTTCTACATGCAGGCTGGAACACAGACAAATATTCATGGAGCATATGGACAAGGTTAACACCCTAGGAATGGTGAACCAACAAGAGAGAAGGAGGTGAGCACCTGACAGTTTTCTGGAACAGAGCTTGGGCTTTAACATGAGAGAGGTATAAACTGGCATTTTGTGTAAGCCCTTATTATATTGGGGTTCTGCTACACAGATAGCCACACTTACCTCCTAACAGGTTTCTAGGTTGGCTGCTTTTGGTATAATGGCTAGGCCTGGGGGAGAGGGGGCATGTGGTAAAAATAGCCCTGCCAGCTCAAAAGAACTGCTAGAGGGGGTCCCCCACCCTTCCATCAGCAGAAACAGGCAATTTATTTAAAAAAGGAAAAAAAGGTGTATATGAAAGTCTCCACCAGCTGGCATGACTGGAACGTCAGGAAATATCCTGCTAGCTTTGGTTAACCATCCCCATCACAGAAATCCCCTGTCTTTTGTTACCAAATCAATGGTCAATTCTGTCCTCTCATTTTACCTACCAACATTAGTTAATCAAATTGATTATTCTCTCCTGGTTTTCCTTCTTGACTGGTCACTCCTCATTCTCTTTAAGTAGTTCCTCCTCTTCCCAGCCTTTAAACCAGTGGTTCTCTGTCTGCTGCATGATCAGAATTACCTGAAAGGCTTGCTGTACACTAAGCTGAAAACACCCCTATGAGGATGTCTGGGGTGGGGCCTGAGAATTTGCATTTCTAAGAAGTTCCCAAGTAATACTGAAGCTGCTCTTTGGGAGCCAACTACATAAATGTTGCAGTGTCCCAGGACTCAATGGGTAGTGGGGAATACCTGTACCATCCAAATGTAGTCAATTCCCAATTTATATCTACAGCCATTAAATCCACATTCCGGGTGGAAACAAAGAACAAGGGCAAAAAGTTTTTTAACCTGTCCCTCTCTCTCTTAGAGTGCATTTCCAGAAATTTTATCCAACAAATTCCAAATATATCAAAATATCATTGGCCTGTTAGTTGATATAGCAGCATTTCATTAGCCTGATACCTCACTGCAAGAGAGGCTGAGAAATATGGCCCTCTGCTGCTCAGGAACTCAGATATCCTATTATTCAAGAGAAGTGCTCTGGCTGGTGTGGCTCAGTGGATTGAGTGCCAGCCTGCAAACTGAAAGGTCACCAGTTTGATTCCCAGCCAGGGCACATGACTGGATTGTGGGCCAGGTCCCCAGTTGGGGATGTGCAAGAGGCAACTGATCATCTTTTGCCATCGATGTTTCTCTCCTCTTTCTAAAGAAAGACCCCTTCCCCTCTCTCTAAAAATAAAAATAAATTAATTAATAAGAATGACAAGTTAGACAACTAACAACCTCCGCCATAGTTAAGCATTACTCAATGCTTATAATCTAGCTATTTCAAGTTACTTTATCATGAGGTTCTATAAAATGGCTCAATATATTGAACAGCTGATCTTAGGATATTTGGTCATTTGCCTCTCCTGCAGACTTTGCACAGGTTTAATACACATGTATTATGGAAAGAAATCTACATCCTTACACAGTACCTCTGGCATGTTCAACAAGCTGGGTGCTATTGCAGAGGCCAGGTCATTGGGGACTGATTTTTGTGGCCTCTGCTACTGGACTTCACCATCACCCCATTTGTCCCAAAGTCCCAGATTCCTGCTTATTAACAAGATGAAAGGAGAGAATGCCATGTTAATTCTCCATCCTTCATCCACTGGAGTGCCAGTATGGCACCAAAAATTAAAATAATGTGCTTTTTAGGAAACACCTAGACATGAGGATCTCATTCTTCTCACCTTGGTGCCCAACCTCTCTCTGTTCTCTGGAATAACTGCTTTATTACTAAGCAGGAATTCTCAGAGATGCAGGTGTGAGGAAGTCAATCTGTCTCTATGGTGTAGATGAGGGTAGGGGTCTGCATTTGGTTTCACAGATATGTGATGTGAGGGCAAGAAGGACATCATGTCTAATAGGACTTGGCCTGGATTTCAGTTACATTCTCATGTCCGCTGATTTTGTACTAAAGGATGACCACTCATGGATGAACTGTATCTGGAGTTAACTTTGACTTGGTGACATTCTTTGAGATAAAACATAGACCATCTCCTGGTTCATTGTGGCTGACTTCTTAAGCCTGCACACTGCCCCCCCACCCCCCACCCCACAGCTCACAGGGCTGCAGCTGACTGTTTCAACTGCACTTGGAACTTTTTGGTATATTCTTACCTTCAGGAGCTACAAGTGAAAAAGTGAAGAGAAAGGGAAGGCAACTTGTTCAGGGTATCAATGGGACAGTAGGGCCAAGCTAAGGAAACTTAGTCATCAATAAGATTAAAACAAAGATAAAAACGACCACCACCTTAGAAACAGTTGGGTGACAGGTTGGTCCACCAGAGATCAGAAGAGCCAAGATCATGAAATTTAAAGGCCTTCAGGAGCTGAAGAACAAGAGCATACAACCCAAATGAGAGCTACATGAAGCTCCATGTAGATTAGATTAAGAACTAGTAACCCAACAGTGAAGGTATTTGCAGTCCTAAATCAATATTAATTTGATGTTTACTTTCCTATCCGTTTTTAGTTACAGAAAGTGCATTTGACTTGGGACTCAAGTTCTCATGACTAGACATGTATTTGTTAATTCAGTGCACAGAGCTTATCTACCACATTCTCTTCATTTCAAAGTTCTCTAGCATTGCAGACTTCCCTTGCAAGTTGATATGTGGAGTGCTTAACTTGTGTTATTTGGTTCTCTTTTAAAATGTAGTTAGGTTGTATTTAAGCACCAGAGAAATTATTTCATTACCTCAAAACTAATTTCACCCTGGTTGGTGTGGCTCAGGTGGTTGAGTGTTGTCCCATAAACTGAAAGGTCATCAGTTTGATTCCTGGTCAGGGCCTATGCGTAGGTTGTGGGTTCCATACCTGGTCAGGGTGCATAAAAGAGGCAACCAATCAATGTTTCTCTTCCTCCCTTTCCTTCTTTCTGAATCAATAAGCATGTCCTTGGGTGAGCACAAACACACAAATAAGTATGTGTCTGCCCTGATTAGTGTAGCTCAGTGGGTTGAACATTGTCTTGCAAACCAAAAGGTTGCTGGGTCAATTCCCCACCAGGGCACATACCTGGGTTGCAGGCCAGGTCCCCAGCAGGGGGTGTATGAGAGGCAAGTGATCGATGTTTCTCCAGCACATGGATGTTTCTCTCCCTCTCTTTTTCCCTATCTTCCCCTCTCTCTAAAAATAACATCTTTCTTTAAAAAGTGTGTCTATTTGTTAAAAAAAAAAGTTGGCATACTTCTAATTTGGTCAGTTTCTGATTCCAAGATTGGATCCTACTAAGGGCCATTAAGTGAAGCTAAAACCTCAAAATTTAAGTCTTCCACTACTGCATGTCCCATTGTGAGATACCAATTAAAAGATAAAATGGCCCTTTCTTCAGAACTTTCAGCAGGAAATGGAACAGTATTTCACATTTAAAAAAAAAAAAACAAAAAACAAACCTCTGCAGAATATCACATTTAAAAAGGAAACAAAGAACTACCAAATTTGTGTCCCTACTTGGTTTTATTTACCTCTGTACTCAAAAATGTTAAAATTCTGATTTCTAGTTTCATCTTGCTGACATTGCCAGAATATTGTAGGGAAATATTTGATGCTCAGTTTACACTTAACAAGGCAGTAAATAAAAGATGCAGAACTCACCCTGAATGGTGTGGCTCAGTGGATTGAGTGCCAGCCTGCAAACCCAAGGGTCGCTGGTTTGATTCCCAGGCAGGGCACATGCCCAGGTTGTGGGCCAGGTCCCCAGTAGGGGGTGTGTGAGGGGCAACCACACAATGATATTTCTGTCCCTCTCTTACTCCCTCCTTCCCCCTCTCTAAAAATAAAATCTTTTAAAAAAACGATGCAGAACTCTGACACAGTCATCAGCCAAAGGGTTATCAGTAGTCCCTTTTATTTTCTACTTAATGTTATTAAATAATATCCGATATAATCTTCTCCAATAGATTTTGTAGTGTTTTTCTTCAAGTTGCTTCAAAAGTCCACACATGAAGTCTTCCCTGCCACTCATATGCTTGAAGAAAGGGGGGCCAAGATCCACAGGGATGTTAGTATGTTGGAAAAGTCCTCTCCAGGCTTCACCTTAAGCAGATCCCGAGTCAAAGTTGCCTGCTGCCTGACTTGATTAAAAAAAAAAAATTGGGCTGAGCCCAGGGAACAGAAGTTTGGAAAGTCAAGACTTAAAAATTCAGCAAAGTGGGATCATGTCAAGCTAAACCTTTTTATCTGGGGACACTCACTAATTGAGGCACAATGTTGGGTCCTGAGTGAGACAAAGATGAGAAGGTTCATTTGGAAAGAATGGCCTAAGAGTAATGGCAAAATGTGACCAACAGCTCTTGATGTTAACCAAATATTAAGGTGCTTGTTTTCTTTCCTAGACTTTTTTAGAGAGAAGGGAAGGGATGGAGAGAGAGAGAAGCCCCAATGTGCGAGAGAAGCACTGATTGGTTGCCTCTTGCATACCCCCAACTGGGGACATGGCCTGAGACCCAGGCATGCACCAAGACTCGGTTGACAGGCCAACTCTTAACCCACTGAACCACACCAGTCAGGGTATACTCTCCTCCTCTCTTCTTGGGTTCTGGCCTATGAGATGTGGATAGAAGTGATGGCCCTTAAACATAGCTCACAAAGTCCTCCAGCTTTCTCTTCCTTACTCACATCAGGTTTTATGTGAGAAATTAATCTTTGTTTATTTGGGGTTTTATTTGTTAGGACATCATAGCTTAGCATATCCCTCTTCAGTGGTGAAGAGGGAATAATTGGAATCAGAAAGTGACTATTGCAATAATGGATCCCTTTTATAATAAAGGGACAGGCTTGACTGAGAATTCAGAGAAAGGATGTGAATACAAGAGCTGTTTTAAATAGAACTGGGTAAGAAGAAAAGTCATTAATTCAGATAAATATTTATTGGGCACCTATTACTTGCAAGGCACTGTGTGAGCTACAAAGACACAGGCCATGCCTCTAAGTGCTTACAATCTAATTAGGTAGATAATACACGCACATAAATTATAAAACAAACTATATAGCATAATGGTAAAGGGAATAGATTTTGAAGGTAGACCTGTGTTCAAGACCTGGTTTCACCTTTTCCTAGCTGTCATCTTGGGTAACTTATTTAACTTCTTTAAACCCTAGTTTGCTCACCTGTAAAATGCAGGTAGTAAGAGTACCTACTTAATAGGGTTTTTGAAAGGACCAAATAATCTTGCAAAACTCTTAGCTGAGTGCTTACCCCATAACAAATGTTCAGTAAGTGCTAGCTATTAGTAGAACAGTATTATAGAGCTCTAAAGCTGGGACAGGAAAAAAAAGAAAAATCAGTGCCCAAAAAAGCTCGAAGAGAGGGACTAACAGTCCTAAAAAGAACTATTTGGAAAACAACAGCCATGCTGATATAATTTTGCCTTTCCCCTCCTGTTGTAGCCTCCAATTATTTAAAGTGCAGTGACACCAGGCACCTCAGCTAATAGGTGTGTGAGAATCACCTCCTAATATCCTATTGTCTGAGAAACTTCTGCAGATTGTGGACTCTTTAAAGTTGCACCTTAATTTCCAGCATCCCACTTCAATTCTATAACATAGTAGAGTTTTATTCAAACACTGTGGTAGCAGAAACAGGAAAGGAGAGTAGGAGACAGAATAGGTAGAATGATCAACTGATGGATTTAAGATGGGGAAGACCTATTCTGAATTTTCATGGAATTCCTTTGACTAAAGCTTTCGCCCAACTCAGTCTATTCCCTGTTTGGCATAGCGCCGTTGATGTTGAATAACTGATGATTTAGAACTGAACACTTTCCCACATACACTGCATTCAAAGGGTTTCTCTCCTGTATGAACTCTCTGATGTCGTGTTAGCCGGCTTCTCTGGCTAAAGGCTTTCCCACATTCGCTGCATTCATAGGGCTTATCTCCAGTGTGAATCTTCTGATGCTGTGTAAGGGATGACCGGTCAAAGAATGCTTTCCCACACTCACTGCACTGGTAGCGAGGCTCTCCAGCATGAGCTTTTTGATGTCTATTCAGTGATGAGACACCATAGAAGGCTTTCCCACACTCATTACATTCATAAGGCTTCCTGCCAGTGTGAATTAGCTGGTGTCGAGTAAGAATGCTTTTCTGACTGAAGGCTTTCCCACACTGACTACATTCATAAGGACTTTCTCCAGTATGGATTCTCTGGTGTCGAGTGAGGGAAGAACGGTCAAAGAAAGCTTTCCCACACTCGCTGCATTTAAATGGCTTCTCTCCAGTGTGAATTCGCTGATGTACAGTTAGGGATGAACGGTCGAAAAAGGCTTTCCCACATGCACTGCATTCGTAGGGGCTCTCCCCAGTGTGAGACATCAAATGTCTGCTGAGACTACACCTGTGACTGAAAGCTTTTCCACACTCATGGCATTTAAAGGGCTTCTCTCCAGTGTGAATTCGCTGATGTACAGTTAGAGATGAACGGTTGAAAAAGGCTTTCCCACACTCGTGACAGTCATAGGGTTTCTCTCCTGTGTGAGTCCTCTGATGGCGGATAAGGGACGAGTGGTCAAAAAAGGTCTTCCCACAACTGTTGCATTCCTGGTCTCTGTCTTTAGTGAGAATTCTCTTGGGAGGAATTGACCCTTGTCGCAAGCTTTCCTCCAGGGAAAAGGATTTATTGCAGGTCTCCACTGCTGGGCTTTCCTTCTCTGTTTCCAACCCACCTTCCAGTGTGTGAACTTCAAATTTAAGACACAGAGGACCTTTTCTTCCAAGCTTTTCCCTTGACATTCCTTCTGATTTTTCTTCTTCTGAAGCACTCTGAATCTCAGGCTTAGTCTCCCAGTCTGGAATAGACAGAAAACAGTTTCTTTTCAGGGATAGAAAATACTACAGCAGAAAGAAGAGGTACTATGATAAATCTGACAAGTAATACTCCCACAAAGAGCCATACACTTTAGGAAAAGACCAAGACTTGGGAATTTAAAAAAAGGCAGGGAATAGATCTGATGTTGGATATCTCAGAAAAGGATTTCCATGGGAAACATGGTCAGGATAATTAGTGTGTGCAACGTGGAGAGGATGGTGAAAAATAGGAATATCAAACTGAACAGGCAACATGACACATCTGAGCATAGTATTTGGTGAATAAAGATGAGTAATACCTATAGGTGTAGAAAAATTGAAAGCTAGTGGGTGAGAGAGAATAGTACTAAAGCAGAAGATATGAAAAAAGGTGATAGCCAATACTCCCTCCCACAAACCCCCAAATAACCACAAAATAAACTGCCCTACCCTGCTGATATGCAGTTACCTAGAGAAATGTTCCTTCTCTCATCGGATCCATGAAGGTCAAGTATCGAAGGCTTATCCTCTCTCTTCAACTGGAAAATCACATCAGGTTGAGGAACTGGAAGTCCTGCTCATGGACAAAGAAACAAGCCAGGTATGTTATGAAAATACACAACTACGCCACAGCTTAATCTCAGCCTCTAGGACTATCATAGGGAAAATACAGAAGGCAGACCATGCATGCTAAGAATGCAGAATACAAAGTAATGCAGAAGATGCAGGCACATCTGGATGGAGGTCAAAATTGAGGTTCTAAAAAGGAACAAGTAGCACTTGGTCAAGAGACTGACAAAATTCCCTTCGATGAATGTGTTTATTCTTCCTCCAGAGGTGAACGGGACTTTCCTGGCTTTAGTGTTGGTAGGATGGGTGGAAACAGTCCTTGGCTCAGGGAATATAAGAATTAAAAAAAGATCATCCTGAGTAAAAATATGTAATGAAAGCATTTTTGTTTGTTTGCTTACCCTTTAGTATTATGCTTTTATTTAAAGAAGTGGGTCATGCTCATTGCAGGCAAATTAGAGATATATATAAGTCAAAAGAAAAACCACTTTTTGTACTTTGTATCTATTTTTTTATTTCTATTCATTTCAATACTGAAAGATACCTATAGATATACTGTTAAAAACTGGAAAGTGAAATAATGATTTGTAAACTTGATGTTTTTCATATAAGAATAAACTTAAAAATTATTTCCACTAACACAGATCTATCTCACCATTTTAATGACTATCTGATACTATATTGTATGGAATAATCTAATTTATTTAATCTCCTGCTGACTTGTTTTCAGACTTGTTTTAATATTTTAAAACAATACAATGAACATGTATGTACAGCATGGGCTGCTAATCCTATTATTTCCTTGGGACAAATTTCTAGAAGTGAACCTATCCATTTTGGTTATACAAATTCTCCTCCTAGAAAGTGTCTTGAGTTCTAAACTTCCCTTGCATTTGTCCCCCAACTTGGGAAAGAGAGGCACTTTCTTACTGGGCCCCAGGATCAGCCATCCAGTATGCTGATTCTCTGTGGACAATGCGGCCACATCTATCATTTCCCTGGGGTTTCCTGTCTCTAACCTCCTGCATTCTATGGTCCCCAGTATTTCATCCCACCAAAGCCTGTGACAAAGGCTTAGTAGTCTCCCTTAATACTCTATGAACACTATTCTGTTTTCCATATTTGGCCTGTTTAGGCAAATCCAGGGGGTATTACACTTGCTTTTTTGACCTGCCTCGCATAAAATCTGCAATTTGATTCCTTTTACTGCTACCTGATGCTTATTGTAAGCCTGGTTCTGAATCTGACCACTCTCTCAGCCTCTTATTCTAGAAGCTCCTAAGAGGTTCCATTACCTACAGGAACCCAACTTTACTTCTCAGGAGTACCTGACACCAGCAGTCATTCTTAATTTTCCCTTTGTCATGAAAGTCTCTAATCATAGAGTGTCTTTTGTGGGCATCTAAGACTGCACCTAAGACAAATATTCAAAATCAAACATTCCTAGTGCCCTTCTCTGAGGCACAACTTAGTATTCCCACTCCCACACCACTCTCTTTGAAAGTAAAACACATCTTCTCTCCTCATCTGCTTCTCTGAGGAGAAACGTTCCCTCAAAAAGATGGCCCCTCGCCCACCCTTAGTCCTCTGGATAGAGCTGAGTAAGTTACCTGACTGATGAGTTGGGAAAAGAGCTGGGCTTAAATAACTCGGCCTCTTCGGTTCACCCCCTCTGGAGAGTCAGCTCCCCGCAGCAGGTACACATTTGCTCTGCTTCTCCAAGCCCTCTGTGCTACAGGGCCAGGCTGCTGAGCAAGGGAGCCTGTGGTGGTCCCTGCTTACCATTCAGGGAGCAATTCTGTCCAATGCTGGGGTTCAAGATTAGGAGGCCCACTGTTGCTGCACACCTAAGCCACATCCTCCTACTCTTCCATCTTGTCCTTCAGTGGTTCAGAACTCAAGTGGGAGGAGAGGTATCAATTTATTAGCCCCTCAACCCCATATTAACACAGTACAGAGTCCAGCTACTCATGGGAAGCTCTTCTTACCCAGTGAGACAACACTCTCATAGTTCTCCAGCATCACCTCCTTGTAGAGGTCCCTCTGAATAGGGATCAGATACCTCCACTCTTCGTCTGTGAAAATCACAGCCACATCCATGAACGTCACTGATTCCTGGAAACACAATCAGATTGTCCCTTACTCATAACCCTTCTCTTTACATGGACCAGACAAAACTGTCATAAAGACAAGAGCCCTGGAAGTTGTGGAGGGAGGGGAAGGAAAATGGTCTGATAAAGTAGAGCTCTGATGCACTTGGAAAAAGTAGCATAATCCCCCCCTGGTCATAACCCCACACCACTATAGTCATAGCTGAGCCTCTGAGTATCCAGGCTCTTTTTTCAGACTTGCAGGAAACTTGTAAGAAAGAAACAAAGAATTCCCATGGACCCTTCACCCAGCTCCCCGAAATGTTAACATTTTCCACATTTACTTTATTCCTCCTGTCTTTCTGAGTGTATTTATCTTCTCCTATATTCTTTCTGAACTTCCTGAGTTAACCTGCAAACAGGATATCCCTTTACTAATACTTCAGCATACATTTTGAAAAAACAAAGATATTCTCCTTAATAATTACAGTATAATTATAAAATATAGAAAATAATATCGACATTTTGCTATTATCTAATCTACAACCTTACTCAAATTCTACCCATTGTCTTTTTTTTAATGTAACAAATACTTAAAGCAATGATGTTGATTAGAAAGTCTTTAGGATCCCTCTCTGTTTCTCTAAAGGTGTGTGATTCTGTAAGACTGCATCTTTTTCTCCTATCCTAAAACCCCAGATAAGTCTCCAGTGTGTCTGCAGAAGTTTTAGGCCAAAGCTTGGAATTCAAGACCCTCTGCCTTTGCGTGGAAATGGGGCAAGCACCTGTCTCTGCCCACCAAACTCTCCTCAGGACTCCTTTGACCTCACTGAGGTGCTCACATTCCCCAGCCTAATACAGCACACCCTGGATTATGTGCGAGCTGCTTTCAGTTCATACATGGATGTACAAAGAGAAGTCAGAACTAAACCAGCCCACTGTTCCCCAAACTTTCTGGTCAGACCTGTACCATAATTTTTTACACAAAATTATTCAGAGCAAAGGCCACAAGGCCTGTGTGCCTTATGACAGGCTAGTGAGCCCAAGTTCAAGGCAAGAAAAGGTCACTGAAGGGCACCACAGGTCAAAGAGGAAGGAAGCACTCCCCATGGAATCCTTCATGTACCTGGTGGGTCCGACCAAAAAAGCTCCAGGACAGGGAAAGAAAAGGGTTTACATTCTAGAGACTAATAAAGTATTTCAAAAACAGAAAAGCCTACGTCACCTGGCATCTGGCAGCCGGAGCCACAGCAGCCATTCCCTCCTGTGTGCTCTCCGTGTGGAAAAAGGCAGAGTCCTAGTAAAGGTGTGGGGTGAGAAGGTAAGTATGAGAAAGAACAGTCTTGTTTGTACTTTTTCTGAGCCATGAAACAAGAATTCTCCATATACCTGTGAGTTTTATATCTGTCCTCAACTCAATACCCTATATAAGGGAAAGTAAAGTAAAGCAAGATCAGGGGCAAGTCACTCTGCCCCAGCTCTAGAGCAAAAGGCATGGCTATTGCTATTCAGAACACAATGCGGTACTTCTTTCACGATGATTCTAGAGGCAAAGTTTTGTTCCTGGGAGACAAAAACAGGTTAAGGCTCATTCTGTACTTATAAATTCATTCAATATTGCCCTGATGGTTACTGGATAAAAAAACATGAGAAATTTTATAAATGACTTCACAGATAACATGTCAAGTAAATACGAAAGCCCCTTCAAAGATACTCTAACATTGTGCGCAACGACAGCCAATCATTAATAGGCTACAAGTGGGCAATTTACAGGCTGACCAGCAGAATGAAATGTGATCTAACTAGAAGAGAGAACATCCATCTTCAGGAAGGTGAACTAAGAAACATAAGGCCAACAAATGGATGTTGAGCTAAAAGGTACTCTGAGGGACAGAGTAGCCACAAGGATTAGGGGAACCAAAGTTACCGGAAAGCAGAACTCATGAGTATGTGGCAGGTAGGGTTAGTCATAGTCAGTGGAAAGAGCAGCCCAGTCACATTAGTGTTAAAGCACTGAAGCAAAGTCTGTCCATTTCCCTAGTATCACCCATGGGCTTCAATTTGCATAGAAACCTGCCTTATATATTCATGACTTCCATAAGACTTCAACCCTCTTTCTTAGGCTTTCTGTGAATGCTTATCACTACCCTCTTAACTTTAGTTAGCTAAGTATGTCTCAGTTTCTTACTATCAAGGGTCTAATTAAAATACAGCTAAATCAAGCATTGCAGGGATTTATGAGTGGGATAGGGAGAGAGTGTGGTCCTGGGAAGAAGGTGGAAGAGGTATGGCTTACTGACTGCTCTCCTGCAGTGAAGGGAGCATGCTCACTGATCTTTGTTTTTCATTCATCCATTTATCCAACCAACATGTATTCAGCACCAACTATTGATACCAAGGCCAAAAACTGTATGACATTTTCCTTGTCCTCTAAAAGCTTATATGTAGCCTAGCACATTGGACAAGCAAGTAACCAAAATAATATTTCATTGCAGGATGGGTAAGTGCTGTAAAGATATATACACAGCAAACTATGAGAGCCATCAGAGGCTTGCCTAACCCAAATGGCAGGGACGGAGGAAAAGGGCACCTGGGCAGAAATGGGAAACTAAGATAAGTTGTGATTTGGGGAAAGTGATTTTAGGCAGGAAAAACACCTAGTTTTTGAAAACAAGGAGGCAGGTCTTTACGTGGAAAGGATTATCAACTGTAATGACTTTAGAATGGCAGATGTCTAGGTTGTGAGCAGAGCTGTGGGAAAGGGTGAGATTGGAGAAGCAGGCGGAAGCTGGTGAGATCCAGGAGAGCTTTGTATCCTCCCTTTCTCACACATGGCATGAGGATCATGAAGGATTTATGCATGGAAGTGTCATTATCACATCTTAGAAAGGTCACTGCAATTTGTATCAAGGGCGTTGAAATATGCATATTCTTTGGCCCAGCCATTCTCTCCTAGTTTATCCTAAGGAAATCAGTAAAAATATATGCAAAGCTTCTTCTTAATCATCAACACTAACCTTTACTGAGCATTATGTGTGGAAACCTTCTAAGCACTTTGTGTATTACCTCATTTAATCTTACAATAATACAGACAAAATTTGAAATATCCTAAATTTCTAAATCGGAGATTTTATTAATTTATGATCCAGCCCATCTATACAATGGAACGACACTGAACATCATATTAATAACCAGCATTTTTTGAGCATTTGCATTTGTTACTGACCAGGCGCTATGCTCTTTTCATGAAAATAAATCACTGTAGCACAGAGGTTAAAAAGTGCTAGACATCACTGACCAGTGTGGTTCAGTTGGCTGGGTGTTGTTCCACAAACCAAAAGATCATTAGTTTGCTTCCTAGTCAGGGCACATGCCTGAGTTGTGTGTCTCGTCCCTGGTCGGGGCATATACAACAGGCAATCACTTGATGTTTCTCTTTCACGTCAATGTTTCTCTCACTCAATTTCTCTCTCCTTTCCCCTCTCTCTAAAAATAAATAAATATAATCTTAAGAAGAAGAAAAAAAACTACTAGACAAACCTGAGTTCAAATTCTACTCAAGCCTCTTACAAGGCCTAAATTTACTAAACTGTAACACAGTACCTAGCTTATTGACTTTATGAGGATGAATTAAACTATCCTTATAAGGAGTACTTAGCACAGTGCCATTACTGGATCTCACAGTGTTTCTGGAGAAAATGCTCTTCAAATTCTCATTCTTGATCTTCAAATAAGCCCTTGCCTAAAAGCTTTTACTATTCTTGTTCAGTTCTGTAGCTATTCCAAATCTCCATGGCTACCGCTCAATTTTAGCAGAACATTGTCTTTTACTATACTGAGCTTCACAACAGTGAGTTCCAAGGGAAGCAGGACCATGAGATAGAAAGCAGTCTATAGACTTGGCATTATGCTAACAGTGTGTCCCAGCTGTTTAATGTCTACTTCATGGAGTAGTTGTAAATAGCGAGACAATTAATGTAAAACATTTATCTTACAGCCTGTTCAATAAATTAAAGCTCCTTTCCTTTCTATTGCCCAACAGAAACCCATTCATCCTACCACTCAATGACTATTATGCTCTAGGTAGCAGGGGAGTGAGGGCAACAAAAGAGAAATGGCTGTGTTTCCAGGACTTTACCTTAGTGTCCCACAACTCTAACTTACTTCCTTTTTCACTATTGTACCTAATCAGAATCAGCTCGCTGCATTACTCAGTTTTCGTTTTTTTTCCTCCAGCATCTCCCATCTCTCCTATACCTTCTTCCCATATGTTCAAACAGATACAATCCTCCTCTATCTGCAACTATCTTCACTGGATCCCATGGCCTCCCTCTAGCAAAAAACAGTTCTCATTTAGCTTTTCCTTTCATGACCAAACTTCTTGGGTGAGTACTATATACCTATCCATTCCACACCACCACCATCTATTCTTGAATCACTATTCTGCTCTTGCCACCCTTCACACACCTGAATCTGCATGCTTGAAAATTAACAATGCCTTTCTGAGCTCTAGTTGCAATGATCCTTTTTGCCTTATCTTTATTTCTCTGCAGCTTTTGACTGTTTTTTGACGAGTTTCTGCTTCTGCAAGTTGCTGTAGCTGCTCTGATACTGCACTAGCTTAACTTTCTTCATTCCACTAACACTGCAGCTCTCTGTGACTCTTTGCCCCAGTGTTGCCCTGGGAACACAGATGTTGCCCAAGGCTCAGTCTTTGTAAAATGTTCTTCTTGCTATCCTTAAGAAAGTTCATTCACAACTGGCTCTCAATTTCCCACCTCTACAGAGATGGTTCTCAGTCTAGTCCCAATACCTCTTTCAAACTCACCTTGCATTTCCAGATGACTGCACTTTTGAATTAGGCATTCTGCCAGCACTTCAAAATCATCTTTCCCTCTTCAACTGTCTATATCAATTCCTCTCCCAGTTTTTACATTTCTTTCAGATGTTCTAGTATTCTCCCAGGTGCCCCAAATTCACTCTTACCTCACTCTGTTTCTTCCCAAATCTAGCCAGTCACCACGTCCTTTTGACTCTTCTTTTGCAGTGTCATTTGTATCCTTCCCTACCACTGACACCATCAAAATTGAGGCCCATAACTGCTTGCTTTGGCGTGACTACCACTACCAACCATTCCTAACTGGCTCCCTGCCACTAGTCCCTTCCTCTCTCTAGTCCTGGATTTGACCGCTTTAACAACTGTCCCCTAAAAGTTTTATTATTGTTAGCCCCTAGATGAGACCCATACAATCCACCTTTCTGTGTGTCTTGTCTTGATCCTCTATGCAACCATCCCCATAAATACCCAGCGCACCCATGAACACTTGTGTGGAGGCCCAAGGAAGGGAACTAAATAATCTGAGGAGCTTTGTGGGAAAGAGGAGGGGACTGGAGTGGGCATACAGTATGCTAGATGTAGTATCAGCTCCACCCACGTTTAGTGAACACTCAGTGGGAAGAAGGGACGGGAGGAGAGGAGTATTTTAATATAACTTTGTGGTCAAATATCTGGCCATTTTGCAATTTGGTTTCTGGTTCTGCTTGAGAGACTAAACAACTTTGTAGCCTGGACTCTGACTCTGTCCACATCACAAACTGCACTTCCTATATTGTCTGTTCAATCATTACTTGTTTTACAAGTTCCAAGGGAAACTGAGGCAATGGTCCCAGTCTTGTGATACCCCCTGCTGCCCACGTCTCACGACGCCAACCTTTGGCCACATCTCCTAACTCTAATTGCTGACCACGAATTAACGTAAACTAGAAAGCCCGGTTGCTTTAACGAATCAGAATACGTATAGTGTATATCTATGGCTTTGCTTCCCTGTGCAGTTAATCCCATTAACGGTCAGCTTCTTGCGGTTTTTGCCTTTAAGAACTCTGCCCCACTTCCCCTGCGGTTCATCCCGGAGGCTCTGTCTCCCGGTCTGCAAACCATATCTGAACAAAATTGTCTTTTGTCTCTCAGAAAAGTCTCAAGTTTTCGTTGACAGGAGGAAGCCTCCAAACTTCCAACCTGAAAGTTGGGGTGTATCATATAGTGTACAGTGGCTGTTGCCTGAACCCATCGGACGGACACACACATATAAGCTCGTTCGTGTCACCCCGTTCTACCAGCAGACAAGCCGGTCGGGTAGAGACAACTTTGAGTCCTCACCGCTCCGAGCCGGGATGTAACCGAGTGCGCACGCGCTTCCGCGCTGGCGCGCACACACACAGGAAGGTTCCGCCGCGTTACCCTGTTCTACTTCCATAACACCACCCCCAGATTCTCGGCGTCCCCTTCTCACGGCCGCTTTGCGCGCTCCGCGTGTCCAAGACACAAATCCACAGCTCTCACCTCCGATAACCAGTGCTCAGAAACCAGGAAGACTGCGCCTCTTCAATTTGGGAAAGCACTGCGCCTGCGCAAAGGGCTCTGACGCTTGCGCGCCCAATCAACTCTCTGCCTTCACACGGACTGTGTTTCCCAGAAGTCTAAGCGGCCTGCGCGCTTAAACATGACGTATGACACTCTCAGCTGGCCCACGCCTCTGAGAACCCGTGGACGGTGGAGCTAGTGAGAAGTGGCTATGTTGTAGTCGCTATAGGGAGAGGGAAGCGGTGTGGATGCCTAGGCTTGTGGTTGCCCTGGAAGTACTGACCACGTGTAATGTCATATTCCTTCTGTCCTGCGGTGGGAAATGTGTCTTTCTATTCCTTGGGATCGTTCCCACTTCTGGTTTTCACCGCCAGGGAAAAACTGAAGGCGGTATCAAGTATTCTGGCGCTCGGAAGGGGTTTGTTTCTGCTTGAGTTTGTCCACTTTCAGGAATCTGGTTCTGAAATTTGGCCCAGTGAGACGCAGAATTTCGTTCTGAGGACGAGGCTGGGCCTGAAGCAGCGTATGTGAACATTTTTGCGCCAGAAATGAGCTGAGGACATGTGTATTTAACTGGGGAGCCGCCCAACTGGCCAACAGCTTGAGCGCACACAACGCGTAAAGGCCCTGGTTGGAAACATTGCAGGGATTCTCAACCTCTGCTGCACAGGAATCACCTGAAGAGCTGTAGATAACAACATGTTGGTGCCTGGGGCTCACTCTGAGCAGCTAGAGTTTGAAAAGATCTGCAGGTGATCTTATGAGTAGCTAAAGATAAGAACCAATGAGCTGGTAGAGCTTCAGGGAAGACTGCTTATTACACAAAAAATATGAAAAAATCTTACAGGAACAAGTCTACCACTATACTCGAAAAAACCTAAATTGCCTATCATAGGCAAGGCATTGTCACAACCCCTTGTGACCACTTCTCTCTCCTCTATTTTGTTTTTTCCAGAATGTCATATAAACAGGATTGTACAATATGAAACCTTAAGAGAGCGATCTTCTTTCAGCATCCAAAATCATTTTTAAAAAGATTTTATTTATTTATTTTTAGACAGAGGGGAAGGGAGGGAGAAAGAGAGGAAGAGAAACATCAATGTGTGGTTGCCTCTCACATGCTCCCTACTGGGGATCTGGCCTGCAACCAAGGCATGTGCCCTGACTGTGAATCTAACTGGCAACCCTTTGGTTCACAGGCCAGCGCTCAATCCACTGAGCCACACCAGCTAGAGCCAAACTCTTTTTAATAACAGCAGAATCTGGGGTTTAAAGATATAGAGCACGGATTTGCAGGTCATCCTTGGCAGAGGCCATACTAATATTCCCTGTATTTTTACAAGTTTAATATTTGTGCTGCCCAAGCCAGGCAGAGAGTGACTTTTCATTCATCATAAAGCCCCTGACACCCATTCATGTTCTCATGGGAGAAGTGTTTGACTACAAAGAAGCAGCAAAAGGGAATGTTGGGAGTAACAGGGAAACATCAGGCTACCGGGGACCAGAGCTCCCCTAACAGTACTTGACATCCAGAGGCAAACCAGAGCACTCTGAGTGAGGGAAGTGGGTATCTCCGTTAAGCCTGATTAACTCTAATGGGTAAGATGAGCTTCTAGATCAAGATCTTTCTGATCCCTCAATAAAAGTGGGAAATTTCAGACACTAACTGGCTGAAGCCAAAAAGAAAAGTATCAGGGACAGGCAGTGCCCCTCAACTTTATATGAAGCAGTTTCACGTCTGTGTAGTCATATTGAGCCACCAGTGAGATAAAGAACTTTTCTCATTTGTCCATCCCTTCACCTTTTTGGTTACAGAGCACAGAAGAGAATAAAATCTCCTGTGCCAGCCTTGGTTCCCAAGAAGCCACCAAGCCTCCTGGAAATCCTTACCTGGCAGATTCAGGGTAGGTCTCAGGCTTTTCTTTTTAACACAGTTTCAGTGACTTGAGTTGCACAGCTCCAAACCGGGCTACGGGCGCAAGATGGAAATTGCTCCCAGTTCCCAGCCCGGGGAAGGAACAGGGTGAAACCCCCAAGCAGGTTGCTGGTACGCTAGGCCGCTCCGGAACGCCGCGCGCCGCGGGACGGGTCTTCTCAGGCTAGGCGAAGGCGTCGTTGGTGCTTTATGGGTTCCGCTACACCCGGCCCTCAGGCTTGCTCCGGGCTCCGCGCTGAGACAGCGATAGCGTTGGTAGTGTCGTTCCGCCTGGCGCCTGCAGGGGCCGTGGAGGCCTGGACTTGGGGACAGAGTGGCCTGTGTCCCTGCAAGGCCTTTCCCGGAGTCATGGCTCCGGAGTCGGGGGTGTGTTGGGCGCCGAGGTCGCGGGTGTGGCTACCGCTCTACCTGACACCCCTGTGGCTGGGTCTGCATGCGCACTGGGTTTCAGAGCTTGGTTCCCCTCTCCTCCCACCAGCAGCTCCAGGGGTCCGCACACGCGCGTCTCATGCGGGACAGCACCGCGCCGCGCTGGGGCGAGTCCAGGTGTGCAGCCTCGTTCTGGGCCCTACCCCCAGCAAGCTGGGCCCAGAGAGGCTGGGCGTCGCCTCTCTGAGTGGAAGTGCCCAGTGTCACCCAGCTTGCTCTTGGCCCTTCGAACCTTGGGGAGGACAGACTTGGACATAGTGAAGGGACGTCACCCTTTAGCCCCAGCTATGGACTGACTCCACAGCATCAGGTTTGACTCTTCAGGGTGCAGAGGCCGCGAAGCCCTCCTGGGAAGTTAGTACCCGGCCTAGGAGGAGGAGGACACTGGGAAGAGGCCAGGCATCCCAAAGAAGGGCCAAACCTGAAACTGCTTTCACTGCGGCCACAACTAACCTTCCAGGCCCAGGAACCGGAGACCATAGTGGAGGTGAAGGTGAAGGCCACCAGTAGGCTGTTCCCAAAAGCTAGAAGAAAGAGGGGAGGACAACAGAGGGTAAACACACCTGGGAGAGTGGTTCTCGGCCAGGAGCAGAGGCCAGTGGGGCCATTTGAAGCCTTGCCACCCACTCCCTTTATCACTTCATTAAGTTATATATTCTTCCAGATGTTCTAGCTCAGCTGTGTAAAGGTGGGCACCTTCTGTGGCCACATACTCCCCCATTAGTGTTGGGGATGGGGCAATTCAGGTGACCCTGTTGATTTTCAGTCATTCTCTCTTTTTTAAAACATTATATTTTGTTGATTATGCTATTTCAGTTGTCCCAATTTTCCCTGTTTGCCCTCCTACATCCAGCACCCCCCACTCCCTCAGGCAATCCCCACACCATTGTTCATGTCCATGGGTCATGCGTATAAGTTCTTCAGCAACTCCATTTCCTATACTGTACTTTACAGCCCCATGGCTATTCTGTAACTACCTCTTTGATTTCTTAATCCCCTCACCTCTTCATCTATTCCCCAATACACCCCTCCCATCTGGCAACCATCAAAACACTTTCTGTATCCATGAGTCTGTCTCTGCTCTTCTTGTTTGCTTAGTTTGTTTTTTAGATTCAATTGTTGATAGATGTCTTTATTACCATTTTATTGTTCATAGTTTTTATCTCTTTTTCTTAAGTAAGACCCTTTAACATTTCATAAAATAATGGTTTGGTGATGGTGAACTGCTTTAGTTTTTTCTTAGTCTGGGAAGCTCTTTATCTGCCCTTCAATTCTAAAAGATAGCTTTGTAGAGCAGAGCAGTCTTGGCTAGAGATCCCTGCTTTTCATGACTGAGTATTTCTCGCCAATCCCTTCTAGTTTGCAAAGTTTCTTTTGAGAAATCAGCTGACAGTCTTATAGGAATCCCCTGTAGGTAGCTAACTTCTTTTCTCTTGCTGCTTTTAAGATTCTCTCTTTATCTTTAACCTTTGGCATTTTAATTATGATGTGTCTTAGAGTGGCCCTCTTTCCATCCATCTTGTTTGGGACTCTCTGTGCTTCCTGGACTTGCATATCTATTTCCTTCACCAAATTAGGTAAGTTTTCTTTCTTATTTTTTCAAAAAGATTCCCAATTTCTTTCCCTTTCTTGTCTCCCTCAAGCACGCCTATGTTACAAATGTTGGACCTCTTGAAGTTGTCCCAGAGGCTGCTTTCACCAGCGGTGTCCAACCTGTGGCTGGTGGGCAGCATGCAACCCAGGATGGCTGTGAATGTGGCCCGACACAAAATTATAAATTTACTTAAAACATTATGAGATTTATCTTTTTGTTGTTGTTCAAGTACAGTTGTCTCCATTTTCTCACCACCAGTTCCCCCCTCTCCACCCACCCCTACCTCCCACCCTCAATCCAACCCCTCTTTGGCTTTGTCCATGGGTCCTTTATATGTGTTCCTTGATGATTCTTCCCCTTCTTCCCCCTGTTATCCACCTCTCCTTGCCCCTCTGGTTACTGCCAGTTTGTTCTTTATTTCAATGTCTCTGCTTATATTTTTCTTGCTTGTTTGTTTTGTTGATTAGGTTCCACTTATAGGTGAGATCATATGGTATTTGTCTTTCACTGCCTGACTTATTTCACTTAGCATAATGCTCTCCAGTTCCATACATGCTGTCATGAAGGGTAGTAACTCTTTTTTTCTCTCTACTGCGTAGTATTCCATTGTGTAAATGTACCATAGTTTTTTCACCCACTCATTTAATGATAGGCACTTAGGTTGCTTCCAGCGCTTGGCTATTGTAAACTGTGCTGCTGTGAACATTGGGGTGCATAGGTTCTCTTGAATTGGTGTTTCAGGATTCTTAGGGTATAATCCTAGCAGTGGAATTGCTGGGTCAAAAGATAGTTCCATCTTTAGTTTTTGAGGAAATTCCATACTGTTTTCCACAGTGGCTGCACCAGTCTGCATTCCCACCAATAGTGTACTAGGGTTCCCTTTTCTTCACAACCTTGCCAGGACTTGTTGTTTGTTGATTTGTTTATGATGGCCATTTTGACTGGTGTGAAATGGTACCCCATTGTGGTTTTAATTTGTGTCTCTCTGATGGCTAGTGGTGATGAACATCCTTTTTCATATGTCTCTGGGCCCTGTGTATGTCCTCTTTGGAGAAGTGTCTGTTCAGATCCTTTGCCCATTTTCTAATTGGATTGTTTGTCTTCCTGGTGTGGAGCCATTTGAGTTCTTGATATATTTTGGAGATCAAACCTTTTTCTGAGCTATCATTGGCAAATATATTTTCCCAGATGGTTGGTTCCCTTTTCATTTTGCTGATATAAAACATTATGAGATTTTTTCGTGATTACATTTTGCAGTGTATTTAATGTGTAGCCCAAGACAGCTCCTCTTCTTATAGTGTGGTACAGAGATGCCTAAAGGACACCCCTGGCTTACACTATCCTCATTTATTTTTGGATTCTTTTTTCTTCTTGCTGTTCTGATTGGTTGGTTTTTTTTCTTCCTTATCTTCCAAACCATTGATTTGATTCTCAACCTCATCTGCCCTACTGTTGTTTCCCTGTAAGTTGTTCCTTATTTCACTTAGTGTATCCTTTGTTTCTGACTGGATCTTTTTATGCTGCTGAGGTCCTCACTAAGTTTCTTGAGTGTCCTTATAATCAGTGTTTTGAACTCTGCATCTGGTAGATTGCTTATCACCAATTTGTTGAGTTCTTTTTCTGGAGTTTTGACCTGTTCTTTCATTTGGACCATGTTTCTTTGTCTCCTCACTTTGGCAGCCTCCCTGTGTTTGTTTCTATGTATTAGGTAGAGCTGCCGTGACTCTGTCTTGGTAGCGTGGCCTAATGTAGTAGGTGTCCTGCTTGTTTTTCTTGCTTGTTTGTTTTGTTGATTAGGTTCCACTTATAGGTGAGATCATATGGTATTTGTCTTTCACTGCCTGACTTATTTCACTTAGCATAATGCTCTCCAGTTCCATCCATGCTGTCACGAAGGGCAGTAGCTCTTTCTTTCTTTCTGCTGCATGTTGGGGTCCTGTGGCACAGCCTCCCCTATCACCCAAGCTGGGTACTAAAGGTGAGCCCTTTGTGTGGGATGAGTACACACTCCTCTTGTGGTTGAGCCCTAGATTACTGTTGTCAGGTCAATAGGAGGGATTTACCCTAGCCAGTCAGCTGCAAGGACTGGCTGTGACCACTAACCACCAACCTCTGCCCTCTGTAGAGGACCAGCTGTACAGGGCAGGGTGGTGGTGCTCCAAAATGGTCTGTAGCTGTCCAATGGGTGCACAGGCTCTGGGGTATCCTGATGGTGCAGGCCAAAGTCAGCCCCCACCTGTCTTTTATCTGGGGCCACCCTGCTAAGCTATGGAACAATCTGAGATGGCTGCTACTTGTGCTGGGCAAAGCCAAACTGTGAATCTAGGCTGGCTGCTGCTAGTGCTGGGCCTGGAGCCACTTAGCAAGAGGTATGGGGGCTGGAGACTGGAGGCTGACTGAGGCTGGTTGTTGTT